TGCTATATTCCAATGCTTCACGGAAAAGTAGCTCAGGGAATTTCATTTATGGGAACATTGAAATGTTTACGTATTTTATGTTTATGTTTTATAGATTTAAAGTATATATCACAAAAATTGTATTAAAGTTATTATTATAACTTGCTCCATCCAGCATTGAATGAGCTCTGTTATGTCCCAGATATAAAAGTTACAACAACTTTGCCGTAGTATGTACTGAATAGAAAGTAAATTAAACACAAACAATTTAAGAATATGACCCAATTAAAAGGTTCAGCTAAACCATGAAAGCAAAACTCAAACCATCTTAGTCTTTTCAAGAAATCTTACATTTTAACTCTTGCAACACCTCATTTTTTGCATGTTGTCAAATGACTATAACTGCCAACTAGGTTATTTGTCAGTAACAGACATCTCCTAGTTTATATGCTTTTTTTAATTGTAGTTACAAAGCAACTAAAAATCTACACAAGCCATGCTATTCATTGATTGGAAAAGCAATTTTCAATTGCCTTAGTATCTCTATTACATTATTGGATGAAAGGGTTTCACACAAAAATTTATGTTATTATACAACTATCATACAGTACAATTTCACCCCACAAGTCCCAGAAGCAATATCAACTTCAGCAATAATAACCTATTGATTAACTGAATATACTAAGTTTTGGCTGCTTTGAAAAATAATACTTATAATGACTTTGTCTGAAGGCTTCAGATAAAGGCATAAATACCCAAGGTTTTATTATACTCAAGCATCATATATTATTTAATACAGTAGCATTTTGCTGCTTAATGATAGTTTCTGGTATCTACATATCTGGCATATTGGGGTTAATTTTACAAATGTTTACTTCAAGCAGGAATCATCAACAGCTTCAGGATGAGAGAATCACTGGCATGACATTTATTGTTCCTCCCTACGTAGCTTGATAAAGGTGGTGGATGATGGCTTTCTTGAACCTCACATCCACGCAGTGAAAATATTTTTTGCAGTGACTTGGTACAATTGAGTGACTTGATAGACAGTTCAAAGGATAAAGTGTCAACTAGGTTGGTATGGGACAGAAGTTACAGGCCAAACCGTATAAGGATATTGGGTTTTCTTGTCTAAAGGATAATTGTGAATCGCTCTACTAGTTTGTGGGCACCTCAAACTAATTTTACTGATTTTTTTTATTGCAGATGTTAAAAATCCAAATTATCAAATTCCATGCTGGAATTTGAACTTATGTTCAATGAATCATTACTCCAAACTCCTGGATCACTAGTCTGTAACTTTGCAGGGGTACATATTATGCAGGGAGAAAATCTTATGTAGAAAATCTTATATATGTTCTGCATGATTTCCACCTAGAATGATCATGAAATAATTAAGCTTGTCATCCATAATATCCTGATATGCATTCCTGGTAGTAGAGACTCCCTTTTCATATGCTCAGTTTTATAAATTAACAATTTGCATATATCTTAATTTTGAAAATATTTTGTTCAACATTGTATCTTCCAATCTATAAGAAATCGGAGGCCTGGAGAATTTTAATTGTGGTATAGTGATACAAGTGTACACAGAAATAAGAAACACTACTCTTTCATCTCTGACAAGTTTCAAATCATTGATCTTACCAATGAAATAAAATGTGGAATAGGTACTAGTATAGGAAGAAAAGCATGATGTCAATGGATATAATTTTTTCAAAAAAACGACTATTTTGACAACTCACTCAAGTAAGCCGAGAGTTTAATTTATTTGCACTGGACCATATCTCACTATCAAGGATTATGCCTGTCATTGTCAGCTTCAGACTCAATTTTTAGACAGCTGGCTATATGCATTAGTGCCCATGGAGACAAACTATAAACTATTTGCAATGGATGACAGGGAAACATAAAAACATTTGTAATGTTCCATATGTTTAAATTTGAGCAAATTCTGTTCCTGCCAAAATCAATTCACGTTTCTCTACATTTAAGTACAATTAGAGCAGTTAGCTCAAACCAGTGAAGAAGCTGTTGCATTATAATAGTCTGCAACTCTTTTGCTAATTGGAAATCACCAACACACAGGGCTGTATTAATTTATATGGCTGGGTCTTGGAATGCATGGAACACTGCTGTACCTTTTATGGAATGTGCAGGTTTGTTTTATAATTTGTCCTGTTGAACGTATTTCACCCAAATTTCAACCCTAAGCTGTACATTAACCATTATTGGGAATAGCTATATCAGAATTCTGAGTATAAGAATGTAGATGAAGTTATTCAAATAATGTCCTTAGTGAAATTATAAAAATCTCTCACTGTCAACAACTCAGGCAGAGAAATTAAAGGTCCGCAATTGAGCATATCTTACACTCAAATTGGCAAATTTATACAATGGCCTGAAGATTAAACTGCTGAAAACCAGAAAAGAGATGCAATTTATCTTGCTTCCATAAAAGAACTTGAATCTGGCTGAGCTAAGCTGACCTAATAGGGTACAGTAGCAAAGTTGCAATGTTATTGAACTAGTAATCCAGAGGTCTGAACTAATGATCCAGAGCATGAACTCAGATCCCACATAGCAGCTGGGGAATTTAATTTCAATTTTAAAAATCCAATCTAAAAAGCTAATCTTAGAAACAGTGACAATTAAACTACCAAATTAGTAAATACCCACCTAATTCACTAACGTCTCTGAGAGAAGAAAGTCTGCCATTCTCACCTGAATGAACCCATATTTGACTGCAGACCCAAGCAAATTAGTTGTCTTTTTAATTAGTCATATAAACAAATTCTGCTGCTGCATAAATTAACAGCATAATAGAAGGCCACTTATAAATGTTTATTATGGACATAATAAAACATTTATACAAAATCTGTTCCTCAACCTAAAGGCAATATATATATTTCCATGTGATGTGCAGTTTGTAATATCGGAGCAACAGTGAAAACAAATTTGCATACAGCAAGATGCAACAAGCTGACAGTGAGATAGTAGGAACAGCTATGCCTGCCTCTTTGTAGGTTACGTGGAACAATCCCTCTTCCGTACCTACACCGGCCCTAAACCCCACCTCTTCCTCCGTTACATTGATGACTGTATCGGCGCCGCCTTGTGCTCCCACGAGGAGCTCGAACAGTTCATCCACTTCACCAACACCTTCCACCTCAACCTTAAGTTTACCTGGACCATCTCTAATACCTCTCTCCCCTTCCTGGACCTCTCTGTCTCCATATCGGGCAACCACCTAGAAACCGATATTCATTTCAAGCCCACCGACTCCCACAGCTACCTAGAATACTCCTCCTCCCACCCACCTTCCTGCAAAAATGCTATCCGCTATTCCCAATTCCTCCGCCTCCGCCGCATCTGCTCCCAGGATGAGGCATTCCACTCCCGTACATCTCAGTTGTCCTCGTTTTGCAAGGACCGTAACTTCCCCCCCTCAGTGGTCGAGAACGCCCTCAACCGTGTCTCCCACATCTCCCACAACTCATCCCTCACACTCCGTCCACGCAATAAGAACCAAAAAAGAATCCCCCTCGTCCTCACGTACCACCCCACCAACCTCCGGATCCAACACATCATCCTCCGACACTTCCGCCATCTGCAATCCGACCCCACCACCAAAGACATCTTTCCCTCCCCACCCTTATCTGCTTTCCGGAGGGACAACTCTCTCTGTGACTCCCTTGTCCGCTCCACACTTCCCTCCAGCCCCACCACACCCGGCACTTTTCCCTGCAACCGCAGGAAGTGCTACACCTGCCCCCATATCTCCTCCCTCACCCCCATCCCAGGCCCCAAGAAGACATTCCACATCAAGCAGATGTTCACCTGCACATCTGCCAATGTGATACTGCATCCGCTGTACCCGGTGTGGCTTCCTCTACATCGGGGAAACCAAGCGGAGGCTCGGGGACTGCTTTGCAGAACACCTACGCTCGGTTCGCAATAAACAACTGCACCTCCCAGTCGCGAACCATTTCCACTCCCCCTCCCATTCCTCAGACGACATGTCCATCCTGGGCCTCCTGCAGTGCCACAACGATGTCACCCGAAGGTTGCAGGAACAGCAACTCATATTCCGCTTGGGAACCCTGCAGCCCAATGGTATCAATGTGGATTTCACAAGCTTCAAAATCTCCCCTCCCCCTACCGCATCCCAAAACCAGTCCAGCTCATCCCCGCCTCCCTAACCTGTTCTTCCTCCCACCTATCCCCTCCTCTCACCTCAAGCCGCACCCCCATCTCCTACCGACTAACCTCATCCCGCCCCCTTGACCTGTCCGTCCTCCCTGGACTGACCTATCCCCTCCCTAACTCCCCACCTACACTCACCTTTACTGGCTCCATCCTCGCCTCTTTGACCTGTCTGTTTCCTCTCCACCTATCCTCTCCTCTATCCATCTTCTATCCGCCTCCCACTCTCTCCCTATTTATTTCAGAACACCCTTCCCCTCCCCCATTTCTGATGAAGGGTCTCGGCCCGAAACGTCAGCCTTTCTGCTCCTATGATGCTGCTTGGCCTGCTGTGTTCATCCAGCCCTGCACCTTGTTGTCTAAGCTGACAGTGAGGTCTGTTTCAGGTAGTGTTATTTCTGGGAGAGTTTTTAGCCAAAGAACTGGGGAAATCCCAATTCTTTGCCTAATGCCATTTAATCTCATGCAACTACCTTGATCTCTAAAATTGACAAGAAGCCAATGTCTAACATTGCACCTGAAGGACAGAACATCTGACAATGTAGAATTACCTCAATACCTCATGAAGTCTCACCCCAAAAGTGGAGCATGAAATTTTCAATCTCTTGACTCACAGGCTATACATGGAGTTTAATTGATACTTTGAGGCATTGTAAAATTGGTCACAAGTAATTGTGAGAAAAAAGTTATTTGCAGCTAATTTTAAAAATGAAATAGCAAATAAAAAGAAAAATTATTCTGATATGTCTTCGATCAATTATTGTTAATGTACGTTAATGTATATAATAAATTCAAAGTAGGGAAAATCAGTTTACCCTTCTTCCAGCCTCATTGTTATGCAGATTCATGAATGTCCTGGCACTATCATACGTTCCTTTCTGATAGATCTTCTCCCTCTCCCTGGCATCCACAAACTCCTTTGCAAACCGGTAGCCATATTCTACGTTATCTCCACAGCCACCCCATAGCCAATCACGTGGTAAATCCTTGGGCCGTGCAGCACGACTGCAGCCACACGTAGCCAGCTCCCCTTCACGACAAGCACGGCTGATTGCATGCACCACTCCAGCAGCTGAGATCCCATAGGTGAATGCAGTCTCCCGGCTTCCTAATGGGAATTATAAAAGGCTTCAATGCAACAGGGTAAATCAATCGACGTATTTAAAAAAAAACACACACATTCAAAATCAATCTGATAATTAATTTCGAAGTATTATCTCGGCTTATTGTGGAAGACCCTCAGTTGTTGGAAAAATTAAATAACTGGGTTTATTACATGTTATCCAAAGAAAGGTGCAAACTCTTTCCATGTCAAAGCTGTGCTACACAGATGACTGTCTCAAATAATTATCCTATGTCCCTGTAGTATATTAAAGAATATGTAGATTATTTCTACAGTATTAGCACATAACATTCTAACCTAGGTCTTCTGGGGGAATTAAAGAAAGACAAATGGAAAATAAAATCTAACGGAACTTCCTCCAACTTTGCTCCAAAATTTATTTGAAAAGTCCAACCATTGCATCTGTAGTATAGACCTACATCATTTATAGTCAACAATGCCAAGAGTTTCTCTTTTGAACACAATTGGAGCGCCAGACACAAATGGTGTTCAAAATTGCACCACTGTTCAGCAGCAAATGCATAGGCAGTGCAATAGGAAACTTTTAGAGCTTTCTTTTAAATAATATTTGTAGCAATGAATATTCCTTAATGTACTTAACAGTAATAATCTAACATAATTTTATTAGCATCTGATCTATCGCAAAGTAAAAATTTTTCATCATACTTTAGGCTACCTGTCAGTAGCCTGATTTTAAGTAACTGAAAATGACTTTTCAAAAATCTACACAGAACCAGTTACAAATTATATTACAGTACAGTAGTCAGTTTCTTAGAAAGTTAACAAAAACAAACTTGTAAAAGGTGCCTTCATTTTAAGAGCCTTTGAAGGCCTGCAAACAGGAGCAATTAGTAGAAATTCATAATAGTGATTAATTTGATCTGGGGTGTGACCAATTTTGAAGATTTAAGGCCGCCTTCCAGTAATATGTTCATAAAGCAAGTGCAAACAATTGCAGAAACTTGATTTGTACGGGGACATAATTTGTGCTTAAAATTCTTTGCTCTTCCATTCAATTTCAATTGAATTGCACTGGAGAAAACAGCAAAACCTATTGAAAACTCCTGCCTTCTATTCAACACTGTACCAAAGTCCAATAAGACAAGTATATCTACAAATAGCTCTGCTTAAGATTGATACAGGAGTATAGTTTCATCTATTACTAAAACAAAACTTTGCACAGATTACTTGCCATTTTTGACAATAAAGGTCTGGATTAAGTTTTCATTGTCATGTTAAGAAGAAGGAACATTGAATAAAATATTGCTTTAAAGTAGACAAGGAGCTTATATGTTAGTTAAAGAAATACTGCAAGAGGCCACATAGGATCAAATGCAGAAGAAATACAAAAAGACCATACAACTAGAAAGCAAGCTAGTTTCTTTGCTTTTCACACCAAGGCTGTTTGCCAGTTTAACTGTGAGCCAAAGTTAAAGTAAAAAAGAAAAGCAATAAAAAATGTAATATTGTAAAGAATACAGAAGCAGAAATAAAATGATTCTGAGTCATTATATCAACTCTTGCAAAAGAAATGAGCGATGGGCAATATTCGTTCAGATTTTACATCAGGTCACCCTTTGTAGACTGACTTGTAATTTGTAGTAAAATGCAAACAGGAATTGCAGTTATTCCAGTTTCCAATATTTCAATAAACTAGAAATATGGTGTCACTGGATATTGGCCAAGACTGGATACGTGTACAATGATTGAACATATGAAGAATACAATCCCTGCCCATGACCAAAAGTGCTGTTAAACCAATTTTTCATAGGCTTGACTATGCTGAAGTTAATTAAGATGAAGAAAGTTGAACATTTAACTTAGTTCCATGACAGTTCTTTGAGACTGGAAGTCAAGATTGTCATACCTTACAAAAGAAACACATACGTTTCTATTGTGCCTTTCATAACCTCAAGACATCCCAAAGCAATTTACAGTCAATGAATTTGTCTTTTTGAAGTGTTGTCACTGTATTAATGTGGAAAATGCAGCAGGCAATCAACTCACAGTAAAGTCTAACAAACAAATCTGATAATGACTAGATAATCCTTATTTTTCATAGTGTTTGGTGAGGGATAAATTTTGAATGGAATTGTAGAAAAAAAAGTGACCATACTTAAAGAGTCAATAAATGTTTATGTTTGCTTATAAGATTTAAAAAATGTTAATCCAAACAAAAATAGTTTAAATCTCTGGCAATTTTAGCATGGCTCTTCTGTTGATGTGGTCTACCCAAGGCCAACCCAAAACCAGATGAAGATGTCATTACCACATTCATCATCCACGTCAACTGTGCTTCTCCTAAATATTAAAACTGTTTCTCTTGAATTGTGCAAGACATGTAGAATTCACATGCTTGATGAAGTCAATCCCTTAAAATTAAATCATGAACTGCATATCCCTGTTTGTTTTAATTAATGTGTGCCTTTAACTGGTAACCAACTACAGTTAAATACATTATTTCATGCAGATTTTGCAAACATTAATACTTTTACCATCAAGGAGTTGAAGTCTGCAGATTTCTCCTGATGGGGTGTGATATGTAAACTGACAATGTAACATGGAATTTTCCGGCTACAAATTGTGCTTTGTACACATAGACTTAGAATGTAACAGTGACATTTTATTGGTGAGGTTTCTGACTGAATGAAATATTTGAAATTGGTTGATGATATCTAATTAATTTGTTTATTCTAAGTATGGTGGTGCATTACTTGTAGTTTACGTATTTACCTGTTCTGCAGTTTTATTTTAAGAGTTGCTGTCATTTAGATCTTTCTCATACCTGACTTCATGGCAAAATGAAGATATGTTAGTTAGTGATGACCGAAATGTGTCAGATTATTTAAAGGGAAAATATAAAAGACGAACTATCTAATAAGAATGAACAGACTTTTTTAACGTCATTCAAGCAGGAAAATAGTAAGGAAGTCTATTCAACAGGAACTGTACAAACAAAGGCAAATTTGTTGCAATTCATATATTTCTGTAGTGCTATTAGGAAACGCAAAAATATTTGTACAAAGGTAGACATGTACACACCATCTTCAATTTCTAACACAATATGTATAATTTTGGGGGAAATGTACCTATCTGCATGACCCTGCCGAAGACGGATGTGTTATCAACAGTGCTGCAATTCCACCGTCGGTGTCTGAATTGATGTTGGCATTCCTTGATGCCAGTTTTAGCACCCTCTCCAATGTACTGCATGTGATCCCGGTACAACTGGCAAAGCTTCTTTTGGCCTTGAGAAAGCCCAGCCAGTTGGCTACACAAAGGCTGGGCTCCTATAATGTACACCTCTGGTATTTGAATGGGATTCATGGCTAAAGACCTGAAGAGGAGAAAAAGAAAAAAGTTTAGGAAAAAAATATCTTCTCTATTCATAGTTTTCAAGAATTTGTAATTTAAGGAAAGACCACTAAGCATTTTATGATTGCGGCTACAGAACTCGAGGATAGACAGAAACAAAAATTCACAATTTACCAGGCACAGTCTACAAGGCAGAGGCGGAAGATGGTGAAAACAAAGTACTTCAGGAAGACAAAGTAATTCAGAACATAGATTCTTAACAGTTTACTGCAGCAAGAAACTCAATGTGAATTTTGACTCAATTAAGGTATAGATCAAATCAGACATTAGGACAGTTGAAAATCAAATGTGTTTTAATAATTCAGATGTCGTGAGAAACCATTCCTTTTGCAAATATCCTTGCTAACAACCAAGAAAGAACGCAAAGTTGTAATATTTAAAAGGTAGCTTTAGTATAATAGTAAACAGCATTAATTAACTCAGGAAAAAAAACTCAGCACTTTTTTAACAGTTCTAGTTGAATTACTTTAAATTAAATTGACTGAAATAATTTCTTGCAGCCAGTCAGATTTGTCCCGGTGTTCCGACTTAACGTTGCTATGTCCATGTGCAACAGAAACAAATCTTGCAGGTGATTCCCATGAATCAGTTCTTAACAATCAAACTGCAAGTGGGTTATCAGCTATGTTAAGTTTAAAAAGTACTCATTTTGACAAGTACAGGTTTGAGGAAATATATCATGAAAATAGAAATAGCATAATTATCCCAGTACTGGTCTTTCAAAACTCTATGGTAAAGGTTCAGCAGTCACGTATAAAGTCCTTGGTTCATAAGGAATTTAGTTCCCTCCTGATGCAGAATTCCTAAAACTAAAGACACTAATGGGGAAAAAGTTGTCTGTACAAGGGAGGTTCTTCATTCTGTCAATTACTTCGATGTCCCCTTTACTCTGTAATAGGAGATTTTAATAATAGTAGGAGGCCGCTACATTGCATAAAGCAACGCTGCGGAGGCAGCATTTGCTTCACAGCAGACCGTCCGATTTTCACATAGTTTACCTCTTCGATAAACACTTTGAGGAAATGGACTCTGCATGTCAGAAATATTAAGCATATATCACGGTATTAATGTTGTTTGCAGTTAAAAAGAACACATGGAAGGGATAAGTGTAATGGACCGACTTTGTACTGGGATGACGTCTACACCACAAGGTTTGAACGGGTTTACCCCATAACCATGCAGCTCAAACACAAAGATGCATCGTTAACGTTTATAATGATCACACATTCGAATTAGACTTTTAAAAAGTGGAACTCACCACCAGGAGCTTGCTTCTACCAGGACCTGTTTGCAGCCCGATAAGAGTGTGGCAGTAACCAACAGATACCTCCAGGCCATGGCACTTTTCAAAGCTGAGTAAACCGCTCCTTGCACTGTCTCCCCTCCACTCTGCACAACATAAATCAGAACCGATACACATCAAGGAAGCCGGTGAGAATAGATAGATGTTCACAAGAATGATGACTGGTAATGCAATAATGTTAACACAGTACCTTTAGGAAAAAGGGTGGCTCCTTGCGTTCAAGGACCATCTCTAACCTTCTATTGGCTGACCATCAATTACACTAACTCATGCACATCTGGGACAATTTACCAGATGTGTCTGAATCACTGTTATTAGAGGACAGTTGCAGCCAGAACGAGTTCAGTCTCAAAAATCACCATTTTACTATAACGTTGCTATTCTGCCTCAGCTGGGCTATTCAGGGGCGCAATTTTCGGCACGGAAAATAGACTGAAATGTGAACTAATCGCTTACGTGGGACACCCAGATTAGATTTTTAGCTTAGATTCTTGGTGCACCAAGATTGGACAAGCCAAGATCTGTGACTTTGGACGGTTAATATCAATATTTAAAGGTCCATTGAAATGAACATTTGACGCGTCTTAACATCCTCTGTCCTGTTGGCAAAGGCTGAATTCAACTGATCCTGCACAGGGTTGTTTTTGATAGTTTTGAAATATAGCCAAAGTAACCAAACGAGAGGGGAGAATTCTTCTTAATTATTCTCAACGGAGGTGATAATTTACGTGTAAATATTTGCCAAGAGGTGGTAACTCCTAGTTTGGGTTTGAGTATAAAAGCACAACAAATGATCATCGGAAGAAACGTGTCCATATTCTTAAATGGCAGTCTGTAAAATCGTTCTAATCCTCGTAAAACAACACATATTAAGTAATAGTGTCCTTCAATGGTCCGTATTTACATTTTGGTCGTAACAGGTTAGATCGGCCACGACAAGTGGTCTACCATTTAAGAGGAGTCTGAGCCTTCAGGCATGTTTATATGACGGGGTCTGAAACATATTCCCGTGTTGTGTAAGAAACATGACTACTTTCAGAGAGGAAGAAAAAAACCGCTTGATTTTAGAGCAAGAAATTAAATAACCGGTTCTTCTAAAGAAAGTTTTCTCTTGTTATTTACTGGAGCCATTGTACCGCCCTTTAAATATATAGTTACCAATTCATCATATTTCCTCGACTTTATAACTCCTGACAATCATAGAATTTTACAGTACAGGAGGACGCCATTCGGCCCTTCGTATCTATACTGATGCATGTAATCTCGAGATAACTTCACAAATGAGTTCTGATAAGTCATTTGGGAATCTAAACAGATTTTTTTTTGCAGGGCGAAAGTCGATGAATTACACGTGAAATACAATTCTGTCACACTTTAATTCCATTTCCACTCCCGGCTTTAGCTGATTAAGTGGGACGGAAGACTTGAATTCACCTTCCACTGAAACGGGATGTTTCGCCCGGGAAGTAACATTTAGGTAACAGGTGGGAACTACTTAGAAAACACATTTTCCCGAACGATTCAAAACAAGTAAAATGTAGGAAAGGTCAGCCAGCGTCACTTTCTACCCAGATCAAGATTTAAGCATGGAAAAAATAATTCGTCTCCAGTGATGCGACGTCCCTTTAAAAGGCAGCAATAGCGAGATTGAAAACTGATATATCAAAAAAACAAGTAATTTTATTCATTTTGTAATGTGCACACACGTCATATCCTAAAAAACATTCGTGATGTACAGGAGAGTGCCGTGTTGTGAGAACACGTCGAACTGAGGAGCATCCTAAAGACCATATTTCCTTTGCAGTGGAGGGACATTGAATTTAGTCTCAAATCCACCCCCTCGACCTCAAGACTCACAACGAGCTAACATATTGTTGCCGAGAGTTAGAATTATGTACAATACACACTTTCGAATATACTAGGGGCTCAGCCTCACACAAAGAAGAATTGATGTTAACAATCCCCCCAACCTCTCCAAAACATCGGCTATAGCTAAACTGTGTGGTTCCAATCCAAGGTATGCACCACATCCAAAACACAAACGTTACTTTGAACGCAATTCTCTAAATGACCCCTTACATTTGGAAACGTTAAAACAAAAAAAAGTTGACAAAGTACTCACCTAAAATGAAGCTAAGCCGAAACGTGAAGGAGTTTGGTTTGTTTTATAATTAGTTTATTCCCTCTACTTTGTCGACCCCGAGTTAACTGTCAAAGTATGAAATTTCCAAAGTATTTTATTTTCTACAACGCCATATAAATGCTTTCGTCACCAATGTTTAATCAAATCCGACCATAGGAACATCTGTTCCCGATGTTACCAGACTGCGGTGTAGCTAACTTTTTTTAAAGAAATCTTAAATAGAACTGCACCGCGCCCATAAATTAAAGACCCTTTCCATTTCCAACCCAGTTGGGTTCATGTTTCCAATTTCAGACTGCAGTTCTATACGAGTTGCATAATTCCTCTTGCTGCTTTCTATTGGTGAAGCATGATATCAAATTGTTAAGACATAAGTTTTCATCAGCAATTTACATATTCTAACATCTCATTCTACTTTTGACAGGCAGTAGACAGACAATGTTTGGCAAGTCTTCTCATCTCAGGGCTATACAAAATCACCTCCGTTTTGCAAGCATATTGAAACCTAAAGGGCTTTTCTCGAATACCTGGGTGACATTTAAAATGTTTGGGTTTCAACTAACACACTCCCACTAAGCAAACAAATGGACAGAAAGAGCAGTGAATTCTGCGATCCGCTCGCAAAGCAAAACATTCAAATTGCTTGCCAGAACTGTGCATGCGGATATGATTGCATTGATCTACAAGTTGTACTGCTGGCGTGAAAATACGTATGAGAACTTGCTGCCACTAATAATGCTGAACAACCATGAAACGGTGACAGGGCAAGTTCAGCAAAATAGGAGGTTGGCGGCTGGGAAGGAAATTAAGGTGGTTCCAAATGAACTAAAATATGAACACAAAGGTTTCGCTTTCAAATTAACCGTTTCTCATAGTCTTTCCTCTAGTGTTATGTAATAGATATCTTCACGTTACAGTAGGATTTTGAGCAATGAAATTGGTCACATTCATTTCATCCATATACTAACGTGTCTTTTTTTAAATATTCAAGAATATTTACGTTACAGTTTGCACCTTCCCATCAAACTAAAACGCAACAGCATATTGCCAATAGATTTTCATTCTACCAACGTCTAATAATTGACCTCGCAGCTTTTAAATGTACCCTTCAAATGGTGTAACATTGAAAAATATGGCACTGTCTCAGTGCCTGGCTTTTAAATGGGCTTCCAATTTCAAGCATCTCCGAAATACCCGACTTCAAATCAGCTTTCCGTTAATCCAAGGAAGATAGAGGCTGAGACAACAAGGTGCAGGGCTGGATGAACACAGCAGGCCAAGCAGCATCATAGGAGCAGAGAGGCTTGACTGAATTTCGTTTTACCATTACTAACGGGGAACAGTCCACGGATTAAAAAGATAACGCTATGCCTCTTGATATTATTTAAAATACTGTTTGGCTCAGTCTGAAAATAGATCTATTAAGAATCTATGCAGCTGATAGTTCCGGTGCTCTCAACAGGTACTCCCTGAATATTACGAGGCATTGGAGAAAGCTTTTTTTTAAGAATGGGGATCAGATGCTTTATTAACCTTCACTTACAAGCAAACTTTACTGGAGTCCATTTTCGGCCAACTCCCAATTCGAAGAAATGGCAATCTATTGTCTCAAAAAGATAACCTATCCAAGAACAACATGGTTGCAAATATCTCTATTAGATTCATCACGGAGATAAGCGTTAAGATGGTCATCTGCGTCCAAAAAATATAAGAATTCACCCACCCACTTTTCAGATATTATTGACAGTCAGTGATGAGACGACTACAGTATGTGAAAAGGTTTCTGTCTTATAAGGGGAAGGTGTTGGTGTCCTCTGTGCAAAACAAAATGCACGTGGAAAGGTTACTAATCAGTCAGCAGTCTTATTTTCCTACGTTGTCATATTCACGAGATAAGAATATAAATTGAAGAAATTGAAATATTCAAGGTGTTAATATCGAACCTGATGATATGGAATTGCTGCGTTTTATACAGTTATCATAGTATGGAATTGGATCAAAAATTTAAAAGTTTATTAATAATTAATCGGGGAGACTGAACTTCGTTGAAACTGGTGTGTGTAATTTAAGCCATAGACATGTTACACAGAATTTTGTTTCTCAAGCGACTAGCTGGTACTGAACATTGTAACCAAAAGTTCAGTTATTCTAATCTTGAGAGGATCTTCGTTTTGAGGAACAAACTATATGCATCAACATGCGTCATAACTAACCCATCTGCAGTCACTAGGTGATAACAATAAAGCTTCAAATGCTAGTTCTTGCTTGCGGTACCTATGGAGAATTCAACGTTCGGCAACAATTTACGAAAAGCCTGAGTTTTAAACCAAAATGGCAACAAGCCTAGTCAATATAAACCTACTTCTGTTAGCGACACGAAAACTCCCACTGTAAATGGTGAAAGTAAAGGAAACTGTGTTAAAATTATAGGATTGATGAATTCCTGGATTATATCCAGTCATGTCAAATACACTTTTTTTTGGAAGGCAAATGCTATGGGCCTTTATTGACAATGTGATCATTTGAAATAATAAGATTAAAATGGGTTTGATGTTAAGGAGGTAACATTGTACCCTGTGGCCTCTGCAAGCAGAGCGAATAGCCGACTATTTTGAGAATTACTGTTAACATCTAACTCAGTCTGAAGAGAACTAAAGAAATAGTTCTGTGGGCAAATTGACCTTGTAGTTTTTTTTTGTCAAAAAAGATATAAAATGATTAAGCATGAAATATTTGGCTTGGTGTCCACAGGCAGTTTATGGAAATTGAATTTAAAAACACTAATATGAAAGAAGAAAACCCAGGGTCCTTAACGTTTTTAATGCGCGGTACGATTCACTTCAATTTCCCGTGTTTACGCCAATAGATAAAATGTTCTGTCGGTTCTGAGCATCTTTTTTATGTTTTATCACTGAAATATTCAGACTGCAATCTGATACACTAACAGATGATAGGATTGTGTGGAGTCAACCGTCCTTCTATGACTGTTTGATGATAATCAATGCGAGATAAGTGCACTACCGCTAGTAGTCACAATATTTGTTTATATAAATTGCACTAAGTGCACTTAGTACATGTTAGGAGATCATCAAAACGTTATGTAAATATCTTCCTAAGCAGAAATATTTAAACAGGAAACTGTTTCGATCACATGGGCTGGGTGGAGATTGTACAGCACACTCAAATATATTTGGAAAGCTCTGATTTCTTAATTAGAGCCGGTGACACAGCAAAATAAGAACAACGAATGACTTAGATTCCGAACCAAGAATTATTTACACCTTCAAAGGTAGAACTGTAGAGCCTCATAGTCATTTGTTTCCTTGTGGAAAGAGATTATTTCAACAAGGCCAACAATTCCATGCCCTCTTTCTGTTGCTGTTGTTCAATTGGAGTGATCCACACTTCTCCCATTCCCGTCACTTTTCTGTTTTCCTTTAGACAAAGTATTCTTAGAATGCAAATAGTAAGTCAGCTTTTCACGACAGCAAATGAAGAATGCGTTTTTTTTAGAAGTAGAGAAATGGAGAAGAGGGAAAGGAACTGACAGACAGCCGTCCAAACATCTTTACCGACTTTGTCCCTGCCCAGTGCCCAAACATGATGAAGCACAGAGCAACTTTACCTTATATCCGCATCCCCACATCTATCACCTAGATGTCACAGCCTGGTCATTTATCACTAAACCTGTCTCCAGACACACTTACTTATCTGAAAATTCCAATGTCCAAAGCCAAATTGAAAAGCAATATCAAAACCATCGTCTATGCTCTGGAGATATCAGGAAGCTGGAGGCACTCGGCTATCAGTTTATAACAAAAGATTCCAGCTCAGTGCAGTTTGCAGCCAGCGACATCTTTGCACGGCTCGGACAGATTGTTGCACCGCAGCTAGCAGAGAGTGGATGGATGAGGGTTCCTCACAATACGAACGTTACTTCCGTAATACGATTATATGATAACCATCAAAATGAGAGACGTGTATTCATGGCAGGGGGGTGGGAGTTAGGCAGGAGCTTTACAAATGACACCCTGCGGGGTACTTTGTTGTTTTGATTTTCCTAAGGTCATTTATTTTTCATCGTTCCGTTGCTTTGAAAATAAACTGTCAGAAGGGTTTGCAGTCGATCTAAAACACTTAATCTATTTAATATGTTCAACCAACGCAGACTTAACTGCCAAGCAATTAGAAATCGGCGGTTGTACGATTTGAAATGGGTTTCAAAATGTGGAAGCTAAACTCCAACCCCGCATCAATCCCCCCATCCTCTACCCCTCACCACCACCACACACACACACACACACACACACAAACTTCCTGTCAAAGTGGCAAAGAAACATTTCTTTAAAATCAGCTTAGGACTCATGATTCCAGGAATCTTGCGTTCAACACACGGGGGCTCCCTCATCCCTCGGATGATCTAATGGGAGGGAGTCAGGAAACCTCCGAAACTAAAGCAATAGGGACAGCGAGGATATAGTTGTAAGACTTCGAAACAGTTTCCACTCAACGTGAACTGAAAAGTTACCTGTCAGTGTTCGCCAAAATGGCGAACTGAACGCATTTGTGCAATTCCAAAAATAACAATCGTTGTGGAATAGATTGTGGTTTAAATGGATATGTATCACACAGCTGAAACGGACGTACCGTTTTTTCCTATCTCTGTAACTGCCACAGCAAATTTATTGCTTCTCACTTTTTCAATAGTATTAGGTAGTCAGTTTCAACGTGAGAGCACAAATCCTCTGTCTATGTGTTTTAGAAAGCCCTTGTATCATTTTATGCTTTCCGCATCCATATTATTTCTCGCAAATAAAATTCCAGAAATAGTCATCGATTGAATTATTTTGACTGTTCAGTGTAAGTTAAGGAATCTGGCTGTGATTTTAAAAAGACGTGTCCTGTATTATAATAGGCCACTGCAATCATTTTCATTAAAGTAAATTATATAAAGTGATTGAACTTCGCAAACAACTACTCGTTAGCGAGAAATACGTTGATTTATTAATCTTTAGACATCTTTTGTAGAAGTTAAGTTTCAACTACGAATAAAACCAATATCACTTATTTGACGATTCACTTGCAATTTGTTTTCCAATTTCTAAAGTTGGGCTGGGGGGAGGGGGTGGTTGCTGGATGAAGGCAAGGTGGCCAGCACCACCAAAATACATCTCAAACATAAGATTACATCGTGCCCAATAAACACTCACTTCCGAACGCTCCCCCAACAGCAGAGATCCTGTCACTTCTAGTATAATGCTCCAGAACATGCAGTCACTGACATTTAGTCTCCTGCAAAGGTAGGAATCTTGTACGCCCGGCCCTTATCTCCCCACCCCCATGACAGTGCCTCCTTCTCTTTTGCGAGTTCAGAATCAGCAGCCAATTATACAACGTTCTTTCTACGATTATCATTTCTGCTCAAGGCAGATGGTCTATTGATTCCAATTACAGCCAATTCAAACACCCCCAACTCCCCCAAACAACCCCCTCAAAATCAACAGGAATAACAACTTATCATTTCAGACTCGGTACTCCATTCGGTTAGAAACTACGTCTTAATAAGACCCCCCTTCTTCCTCTACCCAAGGGCATGCAACTCGCTTCTTCTAAAGACATTTCCCTGACTGATGCCTGGACCTCTTTCAATTTCAGGGAATAGACAATCCGTTTCTATAAGTCCGATCTCGTTAAAAGTGAGTCGGCCGGCTGAACTATTCAGGGACATTTTTAAAAGGTCGCGTCAGGCAAACTGTAATAATGCAAGACTTCCAGTGTATATACAAAAAAAAGTAAATTGGCCCCCGCAACTGTAGATAAAGCTGTGGAGGGAGAAGGAAAACCTGCTCCATGACACTATTTCCTTTTGTTGTGCTTAAGACATCAACATTAAGTTCGTGATCATCCGAAACTTAAGACATCAATATTCCAGAGTCACAGCTGTTCTGCAATGTACAGTCCCGCTTGTAATAGTGCAAACTCCATCAACCATTCTGTTTAGTATCACCTCTTGCTTGAGCAGTTAGTGCTTTGAAATAATGGCGCTAGCTTCCAGATAAAAGTGGAATTCGATCATTACAATGTGTGAAAACTAAAATCCTGCATCTTAGTCTCTGCATTTCTTTTTAAATGATGATGTTTCCGGGTAGATGTGCAAATACATTTTCCCCGGCACTGCGAAATCACTAGCTTCAGATGTCCAAATTCATTTTTATTTTCACTCTTGATGTTTGATGCTGCTGAAAATTTCGGGCCTTATGTTTGCCAGCTTCGTCAACATTTTTTGCCGTGTTTAAATACCGCGATTTGGGGACAAGTAGCTTTTATTTGTCATTCTTTGCCAGACCACGAATCATAATCTTTCAGAAGTTGCCCCTGCCCGGGTCAATAAACATTACTTTGGGGTTAAGAAGCCTTCAACTCAATGGTCATTTGAGACCAGTGGACGACTCTATTTTCTATGGCACTCCATTAAAGTCGTGAATTTAGCAGGTTGTAAATCAAATCATATTCGTTCTAGTCACGGATTGTTTTTTTTCCCCCGCAGCAGAGTGCACGTTGAAAAACCAGGAATCATTACAAGGGACTAACTTCCTGTAGTTGTATTTTTCCACATTCTCGAAGTGGCAGTTCAGCAAACTGACATGGGGCCACTTAAATATAATTTAAAATCACCACTTTGATTTCAACGTGACGTCTAACGGAAAATAATAAGTTTGTTTCCATTAGATTCGCGTTATTGGTTTACAAAACCTCGGTGTTGTTTTGTTAACTGTGACATTTTTAAAACTGTGATATGGTTTTTCAGCTCCCTTTGGCTGTTCAGCTGGAGTTATGCGTCCTCAAAAAGATTAACCTGAGCTATTTTGTTTGGAATGAAACAAGCGCACGAAGGTCACTCCACACTAGATGGAGCTACACACCGTTTGAGAAAATACGGCACAGAACTTATAAAGTATACATTTGTAATAAGTTTTAAAATTAAAATGTAATTGTGCACACATCCCAGTCTTTTTTAATATCATAAATAGGTACCAGACGTCCCAGAGAGGAAGAGGGTTATTTTCACATTGCTTGGACAGAAATACCTGCACTACCATCTGAGACAATGTGCATGTTCACCCAAACTGAAATTAGTTCTTGACTGGACCTCAGTAATGTCATTGTTATTACATCCTGTCATGTACAAGTAGACTCAACAGTTAACATTAAAATAGAGAACCATTGAGATGGTGAGTTCGGAGAAGATACTTCTTAGATAGCATTATCAATCGCAATCTGCCTGTGTGCAATTTATAAAAGCCACTTTGTGTCAGGAACATGTTCTGCAGTTTTTATACAGTATTGCAGTTAAAAAAAAGCAAGGTTCCTGACCAAACGTAAGAGCGAACACGTACTTGTAGAGCCTAATGTTAGTTTACTGCAGCATCTAATATTAGAAATGGTCATGATTCACACAGCTACCGCACGCTTATATAAAAGGTTACTAACAGCGCAGCTCATTTACAAGACATTTGTACATCTCAATTTTTTTTTAAAAAAAAAGCCATGAACGATGCTGCAGTCTCATGGCAGACCTACCCCCATACTTCTTTGGCAAAGCGGTCACCAAGTAATCCAAGCTTACAGTATCAAGCAGGTAATTCCTCTGCGGTGATCTTTTGCTTAACGTCCTGATCTCTCCCGCCAAAGCATGAAACGGGTTAAGATGTCTGTGGCGTAAGGGCTCCGAGGATCAACACGATGAAAATTGACTTTTCAGATCGAATTATTGAAACCTGGCTCAGTGAATTAAGCGTCTCAGCAGCATTCCTTTTTCTTAACTGATCCGAGCGGAGTATACCGCCACTATTTCTCTTCCAAGGAATGAGGGCTATTGACATCAATGTCCATCTGCAATAGAAATAATTAGTGCTTCTAACAAACTGTGGGCGTGATGTACGGAAACACTTTGGATGGAATAAAATATTCAGGAACGAAGTGCCTTTGGCCAGATCGTCAGCAATAAACTGCGAGAGCTTTCCCCAGCAGCCCCCCTCCCCCCGCACTCTCTCTCTCTCTCTTCTGATCTCCGCTGGCTTTGAGTTCAAACAGGCAAGATTTCCTTCTTGAAGTCTCGAATCAAGTTTTCGGTCCGCACTCGGGTTGGGATTTTGTATGGCACAGCGTCCGGACTTGTTAGAAAGCGGAGTCCGCGGACAGTGAACGGTCCCACACACATGGTTCAAAAGTCCTGGCTGACATTCTGAGGCTGTGGCCAGAAGCCTGAGCTTTGCAGAGTTGGATGATCTATCTCCAGAGCACGACCTCTGCTCCCCCCCCCCACCTCAACCTCAAGCCCTCTCCTTCCCCTCCCCTGCTTGCAGCCACTCAGTATTTCCTGAGCTCCTATGTGCGGCTCAGCCTTCAGGTTTGTACCAGGAGCCCGGGTTTTACACACAATCCACTGGCGTCCGCAACCACACCAACTCCAGGCTGGGCGATCCACACAGGACCATGATCCACTACAGGCTTCGTGCTCCCTGCTCCGCTCCCTGGCTCTCACCTGTCCTCCCTCCCTCCCTCACTCACTCCATCCCTCCCTCACTCTTCTCCTCAACTCGAAGCTTTGACTCCTCCCGCGGGCAAGCGGCTCGACCAGCTGCGCATGCGCCGCTCCCTCCCCAGCCCCAGCTTTTAAAGCTGTCTGTCCTATTCCCCACCAGCCACGGGGACACCTCGCCATTTCACACCGAGTGTTCAACCCAGACCACTCACTATCCGTTGGCAACTCATTGATCTTGCTTTTTGTTCCACCTAAAACCAGAAAGCGATTTATAACTGAACAACGAGAATCGCTGTTACCGACTGGAATTTAACATTTCCACACCATTACAACTAGGTGTAAATCATGAACCTATAATTAAAGTGTTTGCTACGAACTGACCTAAGAAAGAATGTGTTATTGCTGCCTCTTTCTAGAAAAAAAATCATTTGCAACCATGGGTTTAT